AAAAGCGATCACCTGGAATGTGCCCATTGAGCATCAATCCAGCGATGGACTTCACACCAATCGCCACCACTTGAACTCGCTCAGCAGCATCCCTCAACGTTGGTGGTAACCAACTACCGTACCTGACAAATGCAATAACTACAACAATCAAGCAAGCAGTCATCAACGTAACATAACGCACCATCAAACTATTGTTCGGAACATTGATATTTGATTTCGATCACTAAATTTAAGATGAGGACATTAAAGACATTAAAAAGTTTTCGAATTTAACAATTCATTGGATGTGAGTGTTTTATGATATCAATGTGCTTTTTTATTGTTATTGTGAAACCATCAGATTGAAGAAGAACGAATGCTTCTTAGCGACAAATCCTTTTCCCTCGCTCGAAATGCTGATGTGAAAATGGAATATTTGAATATTGAAAACGGCAATTTTGTATGGACTCAACACAACGAACGATGATCGAATGCAACATGACAAAGACCCACATATCAGTTGGATAATCAGCATTCGACGCTGGATTCGATGGGTCAATAACCTCACCACCCATTACAACACGCTGCAGCAATTTTTCCTTCAACCTACAAATGAAATTGCATTATTGATGATATTTCAAATCGACCAGTTCCTTTCTGCAGCTCCCCATGTAGTAAAAGAATTACACTGTTGCTTGTGCTTGTCAACGTTTGAGAGTGCTTTCTTGTAATTACTATCCCCTTTGACGATATTACAATCTTGTTATCATCGCCAACATTATTGGCTTGATCACTGTAAGTGGCAATAAAGGGATATGTGTCGAACAGAATCAGAACCGCTGAAACCATCAATGATGATGCTGATCACTGATTTCTTACTTGTTATTCACTGTAACTATGATCAATTGGTAGGCCATGATAATGTGCCAGTAATACTCACGGCATTTGAATATCAAGATAATCTCATTGTGATGTGATCAAACTTCATTAGACTAGACACTTTTGAGTGACTAGACACTAGACTAGACACTGATTTATCATTACCGTTCATTATACATCATGTGTGCACACTGTCAACGTTCAATAGTTATTCGTC